AGGCAGTTGCTAGGGTACCCTGGTTGGTTACTAGGCAAGCCTCACATACATGCCTGATGAAATATTTATACTTAGTAAGCATTTCTAGCAAGTTACAGTACATGGCTAGTCAATATTAGCATGTAGCTAGTCACTGCTAGCATGTGTAGCATATAGGAAGTTCCGTTTGCTAGCATGAGTCAAACGAGCCAATCCCCAAGTCTCTACGATGTTCCGATGCTGAGATATAGCTGTTGATGAACGGTTGCTAGGGTACTGTCTTTTGTTGCTATGGGCGAGGTTACAGAGTGAACTTGAATGTGGTTGGCTGTCCAAGTCAAATGAGCCAAACCCCAAGTCAATAGGACACTGCTATGCAAAGATATGCATGTAGGCCAGTTACAATGGCAGTCTATGGGACCAGTTTGTGGGCGTGGCTTGTGAGCTTCATTATCATATTGAGATGCTCATTGGTTGTCTGAGTCAGATGAGCCATCCCCCAAGTCAATAGGACACTGCTAAGCAAAGATATACATGTAGGCCAGTTATAATGGCAGTCTATGGGATCAATTTGGGGGCGTGGCTTGTGAGATTCATTATCATATCGATATGCTCATTGGTTGTCTGAGTCAGATGAGCCATCCCCGAAGCCAATAGGACACTGCTAAGCAAAGATATGCATGTAGGCCAGTTATAATGGCACTCTATGGGACCAGTTTGGGGGCGTGGCTTGTGAGCTTCATTATCATACTGAGATGCTGATTGGTTGTCTGAGTCAAATGAGCCCACCCCCGTGTCTCTATGACACTCCTATGTAATGTTATAGATGTGTGACCTTTATAATGGAAGTCAATGGGATCTGCAATGGGACATCCCACCCCATGTTAAGTCAATGGGGCACTTATTAGGGGTCTTTAAGTGGTTTGGGGGGGCGTGTCTTGTAAGCTTCAAAATCATATTGAGATGCTGATTGGTTGCCTCAGTCAAATAAGCCAACCCCTAAGTCTATGACACTGCTATGTAATGTGATTGACATGTGAGTCAAGAAATGAATGGGAGTCAATGGGCAATGTAAAGTCAATGGGGACCCCTTTGGGACGTCCTAGCACCCCAGGGGTACAACTTATACCCTCTTTTGGGGTATGTTCTCATACAGGCTGCAACCCCCTACAGATGTTGCGAATCCCATATTTCTACGAATTTCACACTTGGCGCTATAACGCTTTAAAGGTCGTCCCATTTCGCGGGGGCGTTAGTGCTCTTCTAGAAAAATGAATGGGAGTCAATGGGGCCAATGTAAGTCAATGGGAGCACTTTGGGACGTCCTAGAGCCCCAGGGGTGCAACTTATACCCCCTTGCGAGGTATGTTCTCACTTAGGCTGCAACCCCCTACAGATGCTGTGAATCCCATATTTCTATGAATTTCACACTTGGCGCTACAATCTGTCAAAGTTGGGCGTAATGTTGAGTCAATGCGTTTTGGGGGGTGGTTTTGGGGCCCCTGTGGGGCCCCAAAACCACCCACCCCTTATAAAAGTCATAGCACACCATTCCCGATAAAGCCGCACGATTTGAGCCCACTTTCAAGGGTCTGGGACGAAAGCTGCGGGACTAGTTACGCGCAGAAAAAGTGTACGGAAGAAGAAGAAGAAGAAGAAGAAGAAGAAGAAGACAGAATAATAAACCAGGCACAATAGTAAGAATGGACTTTGCCTATGGCAAACCCCATTAACAAACTTTTCAAAATTATAGTATTTTTCGACATGGGTGTGCCCATTTTGCATTGTACAGCAAAACAATAAATTGTTGTCAGGTTGTTACCACAGATGTTATTTTACTCATAAACTGAACAGCCCCATTGTAGAATCCCATAAGAAAATACATAAAGGTATTATTCACCCCAAAAGTTTAATTTATTCACCCTTAAGGGGTGCTTAAACTTGTTTATTTAATATTTTTCTAGAATTCAAAAGAAATTAAAATATATATATATATATATATATATATATATATATATATATATATATATATATATATATAATAATAATAATAATAATAATAATAATAATAATAACACAGTGGAAGTCAGAGGCTACCGGTTTCCAAAAATGTTCACAATAAAAAGGCGTAAAATTATAAGACAATGTTTCATACCGTTTTAAACATCATACAAATGGTCAAATTTTAACAACATGGGGAGTCTACGGAACTGAGCCCCTTTTGGAGTCTCTAGTGGCCATATGATGAATTGTGTTGGTTTCAAGAGAGTAACAGGGAGGCTGGGACATTCTTACTTCAAGGAGCTTCAGAACATATAAAATGTTAGGTGAACAATCAGGTGGGTGTGGCCTATTTAAGAATTTGCATAGGTTACTAATCATGCGCAGTTTAGGACGGGAATTTTATTTTAAATATCTTTTACATTCATATACCTTTACACACCTGTCCATGTTACATACATACACAATCAATCTCTCTCTGCCTGTTACTGGTTTAAAGATGGCACATCTAATGTGACATACAGTACACTAACAAAACTGTCATCTTACCCATTCAGTCAAATATTGCAGAAAGAGCTGGATAATTACAATTTGTTTAATGCTGCAATTCTCACTGTTAACAAACTATTAAATAAGACTTTTGCCTCAAACTACTAATTTGCTGCTTGGTAGTTAAGTTTAGGTATTGGGTAGGATTAGGAATTAATAATTGTTAATAATTAATAGTTAATAATTGGAAAAATCTGACAGCAATATTTTGTTTTGTTGTGATTTAAATAGCGATGTAAACTAAATTTCGCCAGATGATGATCTGAATAGCTCTATTTGGAAAGATTTCATTAATTTAGATTTACTGGGATGATCAATTATTTTTCCATGCAGTGCATCTGCATAACATATAATAAATTACAAGCATATATATATATATATATATACATATATATAATAAATAATCACAGTGCAAAAATAAAAGGTAAATAAACAGTGCTCTATGGTTTTCTGGGGAGTCAAACGATATTCAAGTACAGAAATTAAACAATCAATTGTAAAATAACATGATCCCATGGGTCAATATTGTATAAATAATTTAAAAATATATTTCTTTATCCTTTAATCTTCTGGATATGCACAAAGCAACGTTGATGCTCAAACAATACATTGTTCAGCCGTATCATGCAGAATATGTACTTTAGAAGAACAAACTAACAGCCAATATGTTAATGACAAGCAGGCAATAAGTTAAAAGTCGATTGAGAAAATTGGTCCTTAACCTTAAGTGTAATCTTTGATCAAAGCAATTTCATGTCAAATACCTTTCACATTCATTTCATGTAATTTCAAACACTTGTCCGTGATCATAGGGGTTTTGTAATACTATTAAAATTTACGCACCTTTAGGGGGATCTTAACCCTTATGATTTATTTTCTGTTGTAAACAAAAAGAAGATATTTCAAAGAATGTTGGAGACCAGCAGTCATTGAAGCCCCCAAAATAAACAATATGTTATTACAGGGGATTTGTAATGAATGCCTTTTATAGTGATATGCTGTAACGTCAGACACCTCTCTGTGATCGCAGGGGTTTCGTGTCAAATGTCTTTTATATTCACATACTGTAACTTCAGATGACTAACTGTGATCACAGCGGTTTCATGTCAAAAACCTTTTGCATTCATATACTGAGATTTGAGACACTTGTCGGTGATCACAAGAATTCCATGTCTGTGAGCAGTAAAAAATTACACATTTAATAACATTTGAAAATTATAACGCTTTTATTAGTTCACATATTTGCCCAGATTACATTTAAATACATTGCTTATTCTTAAATGGCATTGTCAGCAATTTGGAAATCTGTGAGTGAATTTATTTTGAATTAGCTACAAAACAGTATGCACCAGATGCACACTTGTAGCTTTTCAGAAGGTGAAAGATGAAGGAAACTGAAAAAAAGAGGTATATAAAACTAAAATGTACAAAATAAAGGTCATTTTGAATCGACATTACATCTCATCAGATTCAAAATTACAACAAAAAAGAACTTTGTGACCTGTCTTTTTTATTTCCCCCACACCTTTGAAACGTTTTATGCCACAGTAATGCAACCCCTGGAATTTAGTGCATGCCCCGAGGGGATTGCCTCTTTTAGCACTTTAGTTGTAATTATTCAGAGAAACTTTCTCTGTCAAAACAAAAATCCAAACTCATCAAAATTTTACTACATTTGAAAGTAAATAAAATAAATAAAATTCAAATTACTGTATCCAGCAGCCTATATGCACAGGAAATGTTAACTACTAAATCAAATTCTTAAATTTGTATCTATTATGTTATCATGTAACTTTTATTTTAATAAATTAGCATGATTATTATAATAATCATTATAAAACAATACTGCACAGAAAATATGACCATTTAAAAAAGCAAAACTTTACACAAACAATGTTTTGTCCCTGACTGTTTTTTTCTTCTTCACGTGTACATTAGATATCTATGACTTTTTAACCGCGGAAATAGAACGTGTCCTATGTTTTCGCCACAACTGAAATCTGGACAAAACATTACAAGACGACAAAAACTAAAACAAAATTTCTTGCGTTGGCCGGGAATCGAACCCGGGTCAACTGCTTGGAAGGCAGCTATGCTAACCACTATACCACCAACGCTTGACAGAACCAGGAGCACTATCTAGTGCACTTCAAGCAAGGGCAGAGGTAGGGATAAATGTGGAAACAATTATGCAAAGCGTTAAATATGAAAAATGCACTTTTAAAATCAACGACCTGCTTTTTATTAAACAATTTTATCTCAACCTAAATTTATACTAAATAAAATTCAAAATTTTTATGGCTTTGCATTTTTGAGCATCATGACATGTAACGTTAGCTTAGCTGAGCTCTTTGTTTAAGTTACTACGTTACCTAAGAAAAAAGTTTGAGGTCTCTCTTTAACAGTAATGTCAAGGTTAAAGAAACAGTCCTGAAGGTCAAACTGTCCAAAATAGTCGACGAAAAGCTTACCTTGGTTATAAGAAGAGGTTCTCCGTGCTCCAGTCCTCCTCTGAGGGTAAAACCCCACGGTGCTCCCCCGGACAGGGTCACTTCCACTACTTTCCATCCCTCATCATTAACGTGATGTTCATTAAAACTCGCAGATCTGATTGAACTGCAAAAGCTCCTGTGATCGTCTTCTGGAAAACTGGGGTTCACCGGGTATTGGTTGATCGTGTCCATTTCATACAAGACCGTCTCTTAAACAACAAAATCTGGCTTTTTTATTTCACAAAATAAATCCGAGGTGAACCAATAAAAAAATCCTACATAGTCCAGCCACTGTTAATGTTAATCCACAAAACATCACACGAATGTCTGTCTCTAGGATACTTTGTTGCCTTGTTTCCTCCTCTGGACGAAGCGCTGTCCATCATTTACCTTAACTATTTAAGAAAACTGGAGAGTATTTCTACAGAACAAACAACCAAATTTAAAAACTTTTGTTCTGCTTCTTAAAACAAAGCGCGAAAACATTAATTTGTTTATTGTTTTTAACCCCCTTTCATCATGTTAGCATTAGCCAACGAATTCGGTCAAGTTTCACTCGCCATTAAATCAATTACGTCCTAAAGAGATATAAAAACGCTCACCGACTGACTGACAATAAAACAACCGACCGGATTAAAGTCGTAGACCCGAATTACAGATTAGTCAAACGGGTTTCCCAGTGATGTAAACTGAATGTTGTGGTCGTCCAGCGGTAATAAGTATGCCAGTTGAGCTAGCCTGCTAACCGCGAGCTTATTCAATCAACAAGTGGATGAACAACGCACTTCACATCTCTTCCCTAAACCGCATTATAAGTTGTCTAACTGTTGTCCGAACCGAAACAAACACATTCCCCTGGTGGTTTTCACCCTAACGCAGCATGAGCTCGGAGAGGAGGCACAAAGGCTGAAATGCTGGATCATAGGGTGATCTGTTGGGTTTGTACGGATTACTCTCAGGAGGGGGAGAGACCCGATCTACCTGTGCGCGTCACCAGAAATTAGAAGAGAGCAGCGCAGCAGCGGCCTCTGCTGGTGTCTGTGACGATAATATCTCATGCTTTGCAACGCATTGGCCAATGTTGATTTTGGATCACTTACGCTAGTGCCTTTGCCCCACACTTGGGTGTCACATACACCGATGCAGGTCTGAAAAGGTATTTTATTGCTTTATTTTTATTTTATTATTAAAAAGTGCCACATGCAGTTGTCTTCAATTGAATCACCAAGGACTAAATACACAAATAAATGTGTATGTTCACAGCAAATGTTCTGGTAGCAATAAAAAGAGGGAGATGTAATAAAAATTCTTCATAAGCAACCATGACATTACACTTTTTTTTTACCCAGCATTGAGCTCTTCAGTGATATACAAGCACTTGTGCAACGCTATGGCGGGCAAGCAAGTTTACAATGTTAGAAAAATCATGTGGACATATAAAAGGGTATTCGTTATGAGTAGTATGTGCAGAGAAGTAAATCTTTACTAATAGACAAATCTGCACACTCATTTGTAAGTTGCATGATTAATGATGAAGTCGCTGGTGTTTTCTTGTATTGATTTCATGGTCACACTTTACAATAAGGTTCATTAGTTAATGTTAATTAATACATTTACTAACATGAACAAACAATGAACAATACATCTACTTCTGTATTTGTTCATGTTAGTTAACGTTAGTTAATGAAAATACAGTAGCTCATTGTTAGTTCATGTTAATTCATGGTGCATTAACTAATGTTAACAAGCATGGACTTGGATGTTAATAATGCATTAGTAAATGTTCAATTATGATTAATAAATGCTGTACATGTGTTGTTCATGATTAGTTCATGTTAGTAAATGCATTAACTAACGAACCTTATTGTAAAGTGTTACCGATTGCATACCTGCATCTGATTGTAAAGGTTGGTGGATGCAAATTAGATGCAAACCATATCACCAATAGAGGGTATTGAAAAACTCTTTTTAGAGCACTGGGAGAAAAGCAAATAAACAAAACAATCTAGTTTCATTGTCACTGACAGCCGAAAGCAAAAGAGCATTTACACATTCAGCAACAGGTCATTACAGACCTCTAAACCAGTAGTTCTTCTCATCAGCTCGCCACATGCTAGCATAAAGCAAGAAATCGCTCTGCAAATTACCCAAATTGCCACATAAATTACCTAATGACTAATTAATGGTTAATGCATTAGAATTAGAATGATGTTGGTATATCAGTGACGATGTGAATACAACCAGGGCTTTGAAACTGCTTTAGGTAATAAGTGTCAAATGTGCATATACCAATATATAAATGAAAGCAGAAGTAAAAAGAAGGGAAAACTTATAGTTCATGTACTAGTTCAATGCTTTTATTACAGACTTTATTATGCTCACAGCATGGTGTCCATACACTCTAAAAATGCTGGATTGTCATAACTCAACATTGCATTTGTCCATATTGGACTCAACGTTGATCCAGCATTTTTTAGACTGTATGTTTATAGTGTTTCGTCAACCAGAAGTTTGGCAAGTCACACACTCAAAAATTAAGTCGTATGTTGTTCAGACTAATGAACTTTCATATCAGTGTCAAAAGGGTAATTGCGCTGATCTAAGTGTACAGAAAGAAGAACACAATTAAACATTTGCTCTAATGTCTAGAGTGAAATGAAGAGTTGAGACGTTGGCAGAGCTGAGAGGTGTGAGCATGACTGCTGCATGCTGTCCTTGATGTACTGCCATGGAAACACCACAAGCAGACATACTTTTCAACATTCTGATCTTTTTTATTTCAACCATAATATTGAAACAATTTAGCCTCAAAGCTTCACGAGGACAAGTACATGTTAACATCACATATATGATGTTGTTTTGGAACATGTTAGACATGTAGTTTTGGAACATTTTCATTTTGAAACAACAGAAATAATGTGATTACATCACCCTTTTCACATGAAAATGTGCCAAATCTGCCTGTTTTATGTGTTTGATGTGCATTTTTACAATGTCATTGCTCATGTGAAGCTTTTTAGTTAAAGAAAGTCATTTTGAATAATTAATAGCAGTAATGGATCATTTTAGGCAGCATGGTGGTGCAGTGGGTTGCACTCACAGCAAGGAAGTCGCTAGTTCAAGCCCCAGCTGGGTCAGTTGGCATTTCTGTGTGGAGTTTGCAATTCTCCCTGTGTTCACGTGGGTTTCCTTCGGGTGCTTCGTTTTCCGTCACAAGTCCAAAGACATGTGCTATTGATGAATTGGGTAAGCTAAATTGTCTGTAGTGTGTGTACAGTGCTCAGCTTAAATGAGTCCACCCCATTTAGAAAATGAATATTTTTCATCCATTTCTTAGTAAATATAGCCAATGTACTTTGGTGCATTTGAACAAAACAGATTTATATTTATTCAAATGATATTTTAGTCACCAAACATATTTAGAAATCGAAAGATAGTACAATTAAATTCAAGCAAAATATTGCAAAAATAAATTACAACCTGCAAAATTTCAGCTAATTTTTTTTATTTTTATCATTTTGCTTCTCTTGATTTTTCCTCTTTTTTCAATTTGTATTTAATATTTTTCTGTAACATATAATTTTGGATGTACTAGTTTTTGGACTGTTAACGTAAGTTATTTTATTAGATTAGCTCCAGATTTGGCTTAAGTACTGACCAATCTAATGCATACGCACAAATTAAATATTGTACGGCTTCCTGTCAAAAATATTAATTCAAAAGATAGTTTTGTGAGGGATGTATTATATATGCTGAGCACTGTATGTCTTGGTCCTCCAGGTTGGCCAACGACGCACCTCGTAAAAATGAGATGTTATGAAACACCAACATGGTGCAGCTAAATATCAACATTGATATAAATGGCCCTGGGAGTAAGTCAGTAAATGGATAATTTTTTTTAGTAAATGTGATACACCTTTAAGAGAAATGCACATTGGAGTATAGAGGAATTCACTTTAAACATTTTACATGCTAATAAAAACCCCCACAGATACAGGGCCAATGTTCATACCGCCCTGCACTCTTTACCATTTAAAATTAATAACAGTGAGCACTGACTATGAAATATAAACCTGAAGCTGAACTTAAGTCAAGGACAAAATACAGAATGAGAATGAGCATTTTTAAAGAGTTTTTAGATTCATTCCTTCTGTGCTGCACTTCTCTGAGATCAGGCTGTTGCTAAGCAACTGTAAAATAAAGCAGAATCCTCTTAAGTCAGATAACCTCCTAACAATTGCTGTACAGTACATACTCCACACATCAGATTTCCATGTTTATTTTCTCAGCTGATGGCCTGCTGTTACTGTAATATGGAAAAAAGTGAATGTACAGCACACCATTCAAACTCTCAAATATTAACAAATCCGTTTTTGGCCTGTGGATTAAATCAAACAGGGTTTTGGAATGTTATATTTGATTATAAAAAAACTAGTAGGTTTCTATGTACTCATTCTCTTGTGCAAGTTTGGCTATTGAGCAGGCTCCAATGAAGGCTTCTGGCATCAATTTAATCAAATGCATTCTGTTTATGGCATGCAAAATCATATATATATATATATATATATGTGTGTGTGTGTGTGTGTGTGTGTGTGTGTGTGTGTGTGTGTGTGTGTTATTATGACTTATTTTGCATAGACATTAAACAAATGCCAAATTAATCAGTGTACGCTGCACTTGAAATTGGGCAGTCTTTTTTATTTCAGTAAAATGCTTCTGGGAAAGATATTTAAGTATATTTCCCTGATTGCTTTATGCAATGCAAATTAACTTTCAATGTAGCCTATAGTCTAATATATGATATAATTTAAAGAGTTATTTAGGGTTGTATTCTATTTGCAGTGGAAAAGAGATGCAATATTATTATTGCTCACTGGAAGGAAAAGTGATTTTAGCTCACTGGTGTATTTTGTGCATGATCTATAGTTGCCATGGTAATGATGGCTGAGTACAGTATAATGAAAATCATGAAGTGTTATAGTCTAGTGTTCTCACAGAGTAACATTTCTTGTTTCTAAATGGGACAAGCAATAAAATGACTTTTTATAAATTTACGGAAATGCCTTAGAAAAACATTATTGGTCTTAAAAAGAGAGCGGTCTCGCAGTCTGTTCAGTGAACATGAGTTGGATTCTTAGAATTTTTTTTTGCATTTTGCATTTGGCAAATGTTTATCCAAAGCAAATTAATATGTAGTTAAATTATGCATTTACTCTGCACATGTATCGCATGGGAATGTAATCCACAACCACTGGCAAAGCTATAGCACTTTATGTAGGCTTTTGCTGTTTAAGCTTTACTCCCTGATTGCTTAATCTGACTCTTGTGGTCTTTGTAATGTTGTTGTAAAACTATTCTGATGGTAAATTCTTAAATTTTAATTTTGTTTTCATTTTAGCTAATTTAATTTTTGGAATTTGTGTGTTTCTATTGTCATACCATTGCTTGGAGATAGCTTATTTTAGTAAAGGTGAAAAAAAAAAACTGGAATGGAGTCAGAGCAGGAGCCAGTGATTACAGAACTAAGGCTGTTTATCAATATGTGTTTTTCAGTGATCTTGGGTCCTCGTGATCTTGTGTAACGTCAACATCAACTGCTAAAGTTCAGTTCCAATACTCAAGTCCGCAAGTACAGAGGACACTTGGAAGTTCCCGGATGTGTTCTTAAAATCGAGGATTCATCGACGCAGACTTGAGCACTGCACTCGCTCTAAAAGTCCCAGAAGTCATTGTGATTGGAAGTGGGAAGCGCAGCATTTTACACAGATTTATTATTAAAGTTCAGAGATATCACTTATTTACCTCAGGATTTTCTCTAAAGGAGACATTAACATGAAACTCTTAATAGAGGCATAAATACATTAGGGTGTTTTTTGTTGAAATTCATATTAAAATCTGTTTCATTTGTGTTGTGCAACATATATTTGTAAAGTCTTTATACATATTATATATACTGTGAAAAG